ATGGGCTTCCTCTGTATGAGGAGGGGCGTGGGACGGGTGGATGGTGCTGGAAAAAGAAAAAAGACGCGGTGTCTGCTGGGATTGCGCTGCTCTTCCTCCTGCTTCTTTTAGTCCGGCCCGATCCTCCCTCTCCCCCTCCTCCTCCTCCTCCTCCTCCTCCTCCTCATCCTCCTCCTCCTCCTCCTCCTCCCCCTCCTACTCCCACCCCGTCCTCCTCCTCCAACCACTCCTCCGCCTCCTCCTCCTTGCCCTTATCATCATCATCATCATTATCATCATCCTCATCATCATCATCAGCATCATCATCATCATCATCATCATCATCATCATCATCATCATCATCATCATTATCATCACCATCATCATCATCACCAACCATCACCATCACCATCACCACCACCACCATCACCATCGCCATCACAGTCACCATCATCATCACCACCATCATCATCGTCGTCATCATCAGCAGCATCCTCATAATAAGCATCAGCATCATCACCACCACCATCATCGTCATCATCAGCAGCATCAGCATCAGCACCATCATCAACATCACCATCACCATCACCATCACCAGCATCATCATCATCATCATCATCATCAGCATCATCATCATCACCATCATCATCGCCACCATTATCACCATCGCCACGGTCATCCTCCTCGTCCCCTTCCTCCTCCTCCTCATCCTCCTCCTCATCCCTGGCGTGCTCTCGCTCCCCAGCCCCATCTTCGTCAACCTCGTCACCCCCGCCCACCCCTCATCCCCATCCTCGCAGAAGCCCTCCCTCCTCCCCCCCCCCCGCCTCGCCCCGCGGGGCGGGCGGATCCCGGGGGGGGCCACGCCGAAGACTCCCGCCGCGGCGCGGACAGGGCAGCAGCAGGGCGTGCTCGCGTGCTCCTCCCCTTCACCAGGCTCCTACAGTCAAAACTGACACTGAGAATGCGCAACAAGTAGAAGAAGACGAAACATACTACTACTACTACTACTAATATTAATAATAAGAAGAAGAAGAAGAAGAAGACGAATAATGATAACAACGCTAATAATAATAAGAAGATAAAGAAAAACAACGACATCAATATAAATGTTTGGCGCTCCGCGCCGATCTCTTGCATCCGCGCTGCGCGTCAGGGGCGGCGCTGGAGGCGCCGCCTGGGGGGCCGGCGCGGATCCAAGAAATCCGCGCGGAGCGCCGAAGTTTATGTTTGTGGCGTTTTTTGTTTTTTCTCCTTGGAAGGGTACGCAGGGTGCAAAGGCCTTGGAAACCCGTGCCGAGGCTCTGCGAACGCGGCGGGCCACCGAAAGGGGTTAACGATGGACCGAGCAGGCAAGAATGCAAGGGTAAGTACCTTTGGGAAGGTTGCTCATCTCTACCATCGGTTTCGACTGTGCCTCGTCCTCGGCATCATCCTTCTTCTTCGGGATTCGGGATCGGCCGCGTCTCGGCCACCGCGGGCCCTGGCCGGCAAGTAAGCCCGCCGCAAGCGGGAACCTATCTTGCACGGCGTTTCCCGTGATTCTGCCGGCTGGCCCAGCGGGGCCCAGCAGTCCGCCACCGGGCTGGGTCTGTTGGATCACCCACTGGCTGCCAACGAGAGTTTTTCTTGGCTCTTCCCCACAGCTGGGCAGCCGCCGCGCTCAAGTCCGGCGCTGCCTGCGCCTCGCGCGCCAGCGGATGAGGAGGAGGAGGAGGAGGAGGAGGAGGAGGAGGAGGAGGAGGAGGAGGAGGAGGGGGAGGAGGAGGAGGAGGAGGAGGAGGAGGAGGAGCAGCCGCCGCGCCTCTCTCCGCTCCTTCGCCGGCGCGTAGGGCGACAAACGCCGCGCGGGGAGCGCGCGTGCCACCCAAGGGGGGCCGGCGGTGGCATCGTGCATGGCCTCCCCGGCTCGCGGGCAGCTCTCTCGCGGGGGTGGGCCCCGTCACAGAGCATGCCGGTGGCGCAGCGCACGCACCGCGCGGACCCCCCGTGGAGGGTAGCCTCCCCTGAATCCGGAGCCAGGCCCACGCCCAGATGGCGGCGAAGGGGCCGCCGTCTCCGCTGCCACCGCCACCGTCACCTCGAGGGCTCGCTGCGGGTGGCGGAACTCCTCCCGCTCCCGCCGAGCCGCCTACCTGAGGAGCGGCGCTGGCCAGGCGGCCGTGTCCAGGTAACACGCGACGCTTCGCATCCTCTGGGCAGTTTCCTCTGGGCGGCGGGGCGGCTTTTGCCTCCCTCCTCCGCCTCCTCCTCCTCCTCCTCCTCCTCCTCCCCCTCCTCCTCCTCCTCCGCCTCCTCCTCCTCCTCAGATTTCCCCTCCTCTCTCTCCTCTTCACCCTCCTTCTCCTCTTCATGTTCCTCCTCTTCCTCCTCTTCCTCCACCTTCTGTTCATCTTCTATAATTCCTCCACGTCGTCATCTCCTCCCCCTCCTCTTTTGATTCCCCGTTCATTAACTACACAATCTGAATACTACTCTCCTCTCTCCCCTGACGAAGTCCGGAAAATATCTGGCCCCCCTCTGCGTACTGTTTTTAACACACAGGACTCCCGGGAAATGGGTGTTCGTCTGTTTTTGATGCTTTTCTGTTTTCAGAATGTTGCTCCCGCTAAAGCGTTAGCCCCATTTCTGCGCTGGTTGTTCCAAATCATGCTCCCGCTGCAGCGCGGGCGTTTTCGGTCCTTCCAGATAGGCCCCAGAATCTAGAAATTGCCCCCTGAAAAATCTAAGGAAAAAACAAACCTACCTCGCTTTTGACCACCCTCGCTTCCAAGAGATACCAAACGATGCTAATTTGCAGCCTGTACTGGTCAGGCCGCTTGACGAGAAGGCGCGTGGTATGGCTTGGTTTTGCCTGGAAGCGAAAACGGGGTAGGTAATTCACGCTCTGAAAATCATCGGAAGTGATTACACATTCGGTGCCGAATCGTTGATTTCTAGGTCCGCTGAACCCCCCCACTTTGGGGCGTCGTCGCTTTCGGGAAATATCAAGCGGATGCCCAGTTTCTGCTTTGAGAAGGCGATGTTGGAAGCAGAGCCAGCAGGGTGCACTCCCCTTCCAGTCCCTCAGCCCCGCCTTGTTGAAGTCCAGGACGCCCCAAAACATTTTTGTTCTGGACCACGACTTCCAGACTCCGGCCAGAACGCTTCTCGATCGACTTTCCACCTATCCACTTACCCTCCAAGGAAGCCGGCACCATGCCAATGACATGCTATGCGGTGTTGCGTTCTGCGCCGCTGTGCGATGCCATGCTTTGCGTTGCAATGCTTTGTGATGCTATGCTTCACTGCGCAATGCCACGCCGTGCTATCGCATGCTCAGCTCTGCCACGCTCTTCTGCGCCATGCCATGCCGTGCTCTACCATGCGCCGCGTACCCTCTCGCGATCATTGCCCTGCTCGACATCCGACTATGCCAGTTAGTAGTGGTCTATACGCCATGGTAAGAGGAGGGAGGGCGCAGGCACGATCCAATCCTCTGACGCGAGCGTACCCTAGCTTAGCTGCCTCCTCCCCCACCTCCCCCCCTCCTCCCTCCCCTCCTCCTTCTCACTCCTCCCGTCCTCCGCCCCTCCTCCCTCCTCCCTCCTCCCTCCTCCCTCTCTCCTCCTCCCCCCCCTTCATCCTCCCCAGCCTTCCCCACCCCTCCTCCCTCCACCCCCCTCCCACACCTTCGGCAGGCAAACCCCGCGCAGGTTGACGCTCCTTCCACCGCCTGGCGTCCTGCATGTCCCGCTCCTTCGCCCGCGGGGGGTGGAAGGTGGGGTGGAAGGCGTCGGCGATGCCAGCGGGAGTAGGCGGACAGGAGGGTGGGGGGGGGGCTGTCATCGGGCGAGGGCGGATCGGGGGGGGGGGAACTGGGGGAGACGCGGGAGAAGAAACATAGACAATGGATCGGGGGGGGAGGAGAGAGGAGGAGGAGGAGGAGGAGAGGAGGAGGAGGAGGAGGAGGATGAGGAGGAAGAGGAGGAGGGGGAGGAGGAGGACGAGGAGGAGGAGGAGGAGGAGGAGGAGGACGATGCGGAGAAGAAGGAAGAGGAGGAGAGTAAGGATGAACACGACAAACGGGATCACCATCCATCCACTCCCCGTCCCCCTCCTGCCCCTCCGTATCTCCCCTCCCCTTGCGGCGGCGGCCGACCCCACCCCTCACGATCCAGCTCCTCGTACTGTTTCACCTGCTCCCCCGCCCGCTGCTGCTTCACATCCTCCTCCTCACCATGCCCACGCTCCTCCTCCTCCTCCGTCCCCCATTGTCCCTCCTCCCTCCTCCTCCAGGTCATTGTCTTCCTTATGTTTGTTCCTTTCACGCTCTACCTCACCTTCCTTCCGTGCCCACTCTTGTCCACCTCAGCGTCCTCCCACTCCTCCCACCACTTGCATGCATACATGCCAACATCTTTCTCCTTCTCCTTCTCATGAATCCTCCTGCCATTTCCTCCTGCACTCAATCTGTTCACACCGTGCAACACATATGTATGGATGTCGCTACTTTTCGAACTCGAGATCTCACCTGTGACATTATCGCATCTTGTTTCCCCCCCGGGTGCTCGGTATCCCCAACAACTGCATGGATGGATGGCGATTCCTGCTCGGCACCGTGCCCTCGCTTCGCCGCAGCACAGTACTCACATACTACCCCTACACCTTCGACCAAGTAGTGAGTAGTGGAGGGCTACCCCCTCCGTCTCGGTGGCGGCGCGCACGTTCCGCAGCCGAGTATGACGCTGGTCGTCTGTGCACGTGATAGGTCTGACCGGACTTTTCTCATCACTCCAGTCCTGCGGCTTGCCGGTGCAGGGACGCAGGCACCCGCCCTTTGAAGCCTTCCCAACCAAGCCGCAGGGTTTCTGGCGTGCTGTAGGAGCATCACCCCGTTCCATCGCTCGCGGGCCCCGAGCCTGCAGCGGGCCAGTGGGAGTCGCGCCTTCCGCTCGGACGCCCGCCGCAGCGAAACTAAACTTGTCTACGCCACAGAGCAGGAGCTCGACCACAAGAAACCTTCCACAAGAAACCCAACCCTGAGACCCCAGGACGTCCATCGATCTTTGGTGCGGGAACGTCACGCTATCCGTGACAAAACCATCGGAACCCAAGACAACCCCGGCAACCTGGAGGCAAGCAGGGTGTTTCTTGGCATGGGCTTCCTCTGTATGAGGAGGGGCGTGGGACGGGTGGATGGTGCTGGAAAAAGAAAAAAGACGCGGTGTCTGCTGGGATTGCGCTGCTCTTCCTCCTGCTTCTTTTAGTCCGGCCCGATCCTCCCTCTCCCCCTCCTCCTCCTCCTCCTCCTCATCTCCGCCTCTCTACTCCCCACGCCTATCGACCTCCACCAGGCCTCCTCCGCACCACTCGCCTCCGCATCCTCCCTCATTAGATCTTCATATCTATCATGATCATCACTTCCTAATTCATCATAATTCATCATCATCATTCATCTTCATCATCATCATTCATCATATCATCTATATCTTCTTTATCATCACCATCTCATCATCATCAGCTATCTCATTCTTCTTCATCTTCATCAGCATCATAATCATCAATATCTCAACCACATCATATTCTACCAACCTTCACATTACACCATCTCCACTACCTCCCATCACCTTTCGCCCCACCCACACTAACATTTCACTGTCTACATCATTTCATCACCACTTATCATCATCGGAGTCATAATCTGCAGCAATCCTCATAAAAGTCTCTCAAACCATCATAGACATCAGCTCTTCACCCCACCATCATCTCTTCATCAGCAGCACAGCCTCAGCCATCAGCACCATTCTATTCAACAGCACAATCACCTTCACCATCACATCACCAGATCTCATCATCATATCCTCATCAGCATCATCATCACATCATCATCGCACATTATCACCATCGCACGGTCATCTCCTCAGTCCCCTTCCTCCTCCTCATACTCATATCTCCGCATCCTCGGCGTTCTCTCGCTCACCAGACCCATCTTCGTTCATCCTCGTTCACCCGCCACCCCTTCATCCCCTTCCTCGCAGAAGCCACTCCCTCCTCCCCGCCCCCGCCTCGCCCCGCGGGGCGGGCGGATCCCGGGGGGGGCCACGCCGAAGACTCCCGCCGCGGCGCGGACAGGGCAGCAGCAGGGCGTGCTCGCGTGCTCCTCCCCTTCACCAGGCTCCTACAGTCAAAACTGACACTGAGAATGCGCAACAAGTAGAAGAAGACGAAACATACTACTACTACTAATAATAATAATAATAATAATAATAATAATAATAAGAAGAAGAAGAAGAAGAAGAAGACGAATAATGATAACAACGCTAATAATAATAAGAAGATAAAGAGAAGCAGCGACATCAATATAAATGTTTGGCGCTCCGCGCCGATCTCTTGCATCCGCGCTGCGCGTCAGGGGCGGCGCTGGAGGCGCCGCCTGGGGGGCCGGCGCGGATCCAAGAAATCCGCGCGGAGCGCCGAAGTTTATGTTTGTGGCGTTTTTTTTTCTCCTTGGAAGGGTACGCAGGGTGCAAAGGCCTTGGAAACCCGTGCCGAGGCTCTGCGAACGCGGCGGGCCACCGAAAGGGGTTAACGATGGACCGAGCAGGCAAGAATGCAAGGGTAAGTACCTTTGGGAAGGTTGCTCATCTCTACCATCGGTTTCGACTGTGCCTCGTCCTCGGCATCATCCTTCTTCTTCGGGATTCGGGATCGGCCGCGTCTCGGCCACCGCGGGCCCTGGCCGGCAAGTAAGCCCGCCGCAAGCGGGAACCTATCTTGCACGGCGTTTCCCGTGATTCTGCCGGCTGGCCCAGCGGGGCCCAGCAGTCCGCCACCGGGCTGGGTCTGTTGGATCACCCACTGGCTGCCAACGAGAGTTTTTCTTGGCTCTTCCCCACAGCTGGGCAGCCGCCGCGCTCAAGTCCGGCGCTGCCTGCGCCTCGCGCGCCAGCGGATGAGGAGGAGGAGGAGGAGGAGGAGGAGGAGGAGGAGGAGGGCTGGAGGAGGAGGAGGATGGAGGAGGAGGAGGAGGAGCAGCCCGCCGCGCCTCTCTCCGCTCCTTCGCCGGCGCGTAGGGCGACAAACGCCGCGCGGGGAGCGCGCGTGCCACCCAAGGGGGGCCGGCGGTGGCATCGTGCATGGCCTCCCCGGCTCGCGGGCAGCTCTCTCGCGGGGGTGGGCCCCGTCACAGAGCATGCCGGTGGCGCAGCGCACGCACCGCGCGGACCCACCCGTGGAGGGTAGCCTCCCCTGAATCCGGAGCCAGGCCCACGCCCAGATGGCGGCGAAGGGGCCGCCGTCTCCGCTGCCACCGCCACCGTCACCTCGAGGGCTCGCTGGGGTGCGGAACTCCTCCCGCTCCCGCCGAGAGCCGCCTACCTGAGGAGCGGCGCTGGCCAGGCGGCCGTGTCCAGGTAACACGCGACGCTTCGCATCCTCTGGGCAGTTTCCTCTGGGCGGCGGGGCGGCTTTTGCCTCCCTCCTCCGCCTCCTCCTCCTCCCCTCCTCCTCCTCCTCCGCCTCCTCCTCCTCCTCAGATTTCCCCTCCTCTCTCTCCTCTTCACCCTCCTTCTCCTCTTCATGTTCCTCCTCTTCCTCCTCTTCCTCCACCTTCTGTTCATCTTCTATAATTCCTCCACGTCGTCATCTCCTCCCCCTCCTCTTTTGATTCCCCGTTCATTAACTACACAATCTGAATACTACTCTCCTCTCTCCCCTGACGAAGTCCGGAAAATATCTGGCCCCCCTCTGCGTACTGTTTTTAACACACAGGACTCCCGGGAAATGGGTGTTCGTCTGTTTTTGATGCTTTTCTGTTTTCAGAATGTTGCTCCCGCTAAAGCGTTAGCCCCATTTCTGCGCTGGTTGTTCCAAATCATGCTCCCGCTGCAGCGCGGGCGTTTTCGGTCCTTCCAGATAGGCCCCAGAATCTAGAAATTGCCCCCTGAAAAATCTAAGGAAAAAACAAACCTACCTCGCTTTTGACCACCCTCGCTTCCAAGAGATACCAAACGATGCCAATTTGCAGCCTGTACTGGTCAGGCCGCTTGACGAGAAGGCGCGTGGTATGGCTTGGTTTTGCCTGGAAGCGAAAACGGGGTAGGTAATTCACGCTCTGAAAATCATCGGAAGTGATTACACATTCGGTGCCGAATCGTTGATTTCTAGGTCCGCTGAACCCCCCCACTTTGGGGCGTCGTCGCTTTCGGGAAATATCAAGCGGATGCCCAGTTTCTGCTTTGAGAAGGCGATGTTGGAAGCAGAGCCAGCAGGTGCTCTCCTTCAGCCCCGCCTTGTGTGAAGCTTTTCGGGGAGCCCAAAACATTATACATGGAGCCACGACTCCAGACCGGCCAAAGCTTCTCGACGACTTTCCACTTACCCTCAAGGAACCCGGTGCCATGCCATGGCATGCCGGACGGTGTTGCGTTCTGCGCCGCTGTGCGATGCCATGCTTTGCGTTGCAACGTTTTGCGATGCAATGCTTCACTGCGCAATGCCACGCCATGCTATGGCATGCTACGCTCTGCCGTGCTCGTCTACGCCATGTCATGCCGTGCTCTACCATGCATCGCGCACCCTCTCGCGATCATTGCCCTGCTCGACATCCGACTATGCGCATATAGAGGATGTCTACGCCATGGTAAGGGAGGGAGGGGCAGGACGTCAGATATGACGCGAGCGTGCCTAGCTTGCCTCCTCCCACTCCCCCTCCTCCTCCTCCTCCTCCTCCTCCTCCTCCTCCTCCTCTTCCTCCTCCCCCCCATCCTCCTCCCCAGCCTCCCCCCCCCTCCACCTCCCACACCTTCTGCAGGCACCGCGAGGCGGGGGAGCTCCTTCCACCGCCTGGCGTCCTGCATGTCCCGCTCCTTCGCCCGCGGGGGGTGGAAGGTGGGGTGGAAGGCGTCGGCGATGCCAGCGGGAGTAGGCGGACAGGAGGGTGGGGGGGGGGCTGTCATCGGGCGGGGCGGATCGGGGGGGGGGGGAACGGGGGAGAGCGGGAGGAGAAGAACCAAAGACAGGATGGGGGGGGAGGAGGAGGAGGAGGAGGGAGGAGGAGGAGGAGGAGGAGGGAGGAGGAGGAGGAGGGAGGAGGAGGAGGAGGAGGGAGGAGGGAGGAAGGAGGAGGAGGAGGAGGAGGAGGGGAGGAGGAGTGGGAGGGAGTGAGTGAGTGAGTCCATCACTAAGTGATAAGTCTAAACTGATGAGAAAGCGGTGGCGGCGGCGGCGGCGGCGGCGGGGGGCCTGGCCTTGTGGAAGTCGCGGCAGGCGTCCGCGCTCACGCGCTCGACGCTCCACCTCCTCCTCACGGCCTCCCCGCACGCGGCACACCACCTCACACCAGGCCTCGTTGGGCCTTTTCCCGCTTGGACAACACCTTGGGCCACTTGTTGAGCCCGATGTTTCTTAAATATTCTTTACGGTTGGCAGTAATCTTATCAGGCTGGCACGGCATCCCTAAATTGGCTAGGCGTTTCGATACGTAGAACCCGCAGCTAGGGAGGGAGGGAGGGAGGGAGGGAGGGAGGGAGGGAGGGAGGGAGGGAGGGTGAGGAGGAGGAGGAGGAGGAGGAGGAGGATGGAAGAGAGGAGGAGGAGGAAGAGGAGGAGGAAGAGGATATTTGCCAGGCTGACGCGTGCTTTGCAGGGCGTGCGTCGCAGAGTGCGAGAGAGCAATCTTGACGGCACCACTCCATACTTGTTTGCATTGGCACATCGTCTCAGGAAACGAGACCTAACTCCAACTGCGCCTGCGTTTTGTCAAAGGTCTAAACCAGCAGGTCGGCACGACATCCTCCTTGGGAACACCTTCAACACCAGGCTGCTGACTGTACATGTTTGCGTATCCGTCCCATGGGGTATTTGCTTGCCTGTCGCGCTTGGCTCTTTTCCATTCACCCCCTCCTGAAAGACAACTTCGAGAATATACCTCACTCAACTCCGAGGTGATGGAAAAGAACGGACGTTCATGCTTCTTGATGCTGAGACCCCCCCGGCATGAGTCGGCCCAGGTGCGAACCTTGCTACGGGAGGCAAAGGGGCACATTTATCTCGGCTTGCCCCGTCCGGAGGCATTGGGCGCCCTGAATAAAATTACTCCAACATGGCAGGAGCGTTTTGAAGACATAGAACAACCCGCCAATGTTACTCCCGAACATATTGTTATCATTGCAAGGGCGCCCCCTTCTGAACTTCTGCCCAGGCAGTTTCATTACGTCCCCACTAGGGGGCTGCGGTTCAGGTTATCATCAACAGTGCTTTCCCCAACAAAGGAGGGGGACCTGACAAGCTCATTCCGGCTGTGCTAAAAGCGGCGCTACAAGTCACCGCCCGAATCATGCACCCTCCTGTTTGCAAGGCAACCGCGTTGCGCAAGGAGCCGTTGCGCATTCAATACAAGAGGCTTGTTGTTCTGGCTAAAAGTAAGGGGGATGCTAGATACGCACAAGCTTCCAGGCATATCACTTCGGCAGATCGGAGCTCAACTACCCCACAGTGGTGATCTGTGAAGCGTGCCGTGCTTGAGAGATGGCAGCGGCAAATGCTGAGACACCGCTCGCCTGGAGTGGGGCGGTATTTTGTCGACCTATCATAGCGGCTCCAGGGGGCGCGCTGGGCGTCGAGGTGGGGGTCTCCATGTTGGCGCCGGGCGAACTTCGGAAGCTCGAGACCACTGCTGGATGGATCACCTTCCAGGGGCCGACTCTGTGTCCAAGGCTCGAGGCGGTATGGCGGTACTTGAGTACGTCAGTCCTGACCACTCAGCTGGAAGCCGCCCTGTGCATGAACGTGTCGCGGTTTCGTCGGGCAGCGTCCCTGGGCAAGCAAGGGGCAGGTCAGCGCAAACTAAGTGGGTCGCCTCTTGCAGGGCCCCCCGCTAGCTCGGCAGATATAGCGACATCGTGGCACTGGAGGGAACAACGGGCGGAGGGAACTGCGACGTGCTCGCAGGACCCTTACGAGCACGCCCTCGATTGCACAGGGTTGCAGCGGAGAGCTGGCACCGTTTACTTGGACACTTGGGGAGCCTCTGGCGGGAGAGGGTTGTGATAGCAGACAATGGCTACCGCAGTCTATGTAGACTTTTGGCGGCGCGGCAAGTATCACTTCGGCGAATCTTGGGCCCAAGCTGTGTCACAAACAGGTCAGGGAGCATCCTGTCAGGCCCGTCGAACTCGTTCAAGGATACCCAGTCTGGAGGCCGAAGTTGTCAAAGCACCGGTTTGGGCATCCACTGTTTGCTCGCGCGCATGGCTGTCAGAGAGCTTTTGCTGTCTTCGCAGATCTCGAGACATTCTTTTACTCTGTGCTCCTGCAGCAGACTATTCATCTCCCAGCTGAAAGGGACTTCGTCGATATGATTGGCCAACGCTCTCTCCGCCCTTCGCTCAAGATGCCACTCAACAATTCGCCCCTCATGGCCTCCTGGACGAAACTGTCCCCGACGGACACCTCCAAGCCATTCCACCGGAAAGTCAGAGCCACGGCTTTGGGGCAATTTCAGGGCGCTTGTGTCTGCAAAAAGGTGTAAGCCTGGAGCGATTTATGCCACCGATGTTTTGAACATCGTTTTTGCCGCAGTGGTTAAGTAAACTCAGGTCGAGTTCTCTGTCCAGGGTATTTGTAAGGCTCCTCGCGAGGCGCCCCCAAACTTTCGATAACAAATGAGCTGTGCATTTCCGCGGACGCCGCCTCAATTCCTCACAACTTGAATGCTGTCGAAATGTCTGTCCAGACAGACGCGTGAAAGCAAGCGGCTGTCATTGCGGTGGAAATCATTGTGCGAATTGGGTTTTGCGCAGGCGTTGCGCAGAACCGTGCCAAAGCTGCGATTCTATCTTGGCCAGTGGGCAAAGGCAGCGAACACGTTCGGCGAGTCGTCTGGGCTCGCGCTGATGTCCAAATCAATTTTCCCCTCTCTCGGGGTCTGAGAGAACGCGTTTCACGGGCGCTTGCCTTGGGGACATTCGGCGGCGCGTTTCAAACCGGGGGATGGCCCCTCCCCAACACTCGCCGCCGTCGATCCAAACCAGGGAGACTCCGCTCCCCCCGAGTTCCCCCCCTCCCGAGCCCCCCCCCCCCTCCCAGGGCGGGGGGGGGGTTCAGGCCCCCCCCCTCCCAGGTGGGGGGGGTTCACAGAACGCGCTCTTTCCGGATCTAACTGTGCATCAAGCTTGTCATGAAATCGCTGGGTACTTCTGTTTCCGACAGTGGGAAAACGGAGCGCGAAATTGCCAAACGAACGGGGAGTTGCATGGGAACTACTCGGCCCATTCAAAAGAACTAGGGCCGCCGCAACGCCCTTTCGGTTCCCCCCAAGATCCGATATGCTGAAGCGTTTGCTCTTCACTTGTATGCTTTGCAATCGCGCGCTCTGAAATCGTTTCTCATTTCGCCCCATCTCCCAAGATGGCTGGCGCCAATGCTAGCGTTTGTAAAGCTGCACGAGCCCTCCCCACAGCCAATGCTGCAGACGTGCAGCTGGCCAACATGGACATCTTAGTTCAGGTGTGGAGCGTGGGTCTGCAGGCATATACGGGCGTTGCTGGAACCAGATATCTCACCAGGTTACTGAAGCAAGGGCCGAGACAGTTTAGCATTGCCTTCGATCGCACAGATGAACACAGACAAGGGTGGCCCATGCTCACGCGTGGAGATTTCAAGTGGATGCTTGCCTTTGCGTCGAAAGGAGAGTTCCCCGCCCAAGGTCGATTTGAAGACTCAACGCCGTTCTCCGCAGGACTATTGCTAGAACTCTTCACCAGGATTGAGAAGTTCGCCTGCAGACCAACATCGATAAACACATTCAAGGGATCATTCCTTTCGGTCAGAAGGCTATCGCCCACCCCGAAGACGCGTCAGCTGAGTAAGAGTTTATGATGTGCTACGGCTGCGGAGCCTCACCCAATCCCCCCGAACATATCGCAGCCATAGGGGTACACTTCGTACGCGTTCTCATAATCCAAAAAATGTTCGGCTGTGCGCACCAAGTCAAACCTGCGGCGTGGGTTTCGTGCCCCAATCCGCTGAGTTGCTCACTCATAAGGGTTTCAAAGTGCAAGAGGAAGTGGCGGGGACAGGGAGGACCGCAGATGATAACGACCGAGAAGAAAGGCGCAACGCAACTGCTGAGACTCAACGGGCCAACCGAACTGGGGGACGACGCGATCATGCCGTTGACACTCCGGAGTCCCAATCCGCCGCCGTGCCTCTGGGAACGGAGTGGGCGTGTCCTCAGGTCCTGCGCCTAGTCTTAAGTCGGGCGTGTCCCCCTACAGGGGAAGTTTGGGACGAACAATAACAAATACTAAACAAATGCTCAAAATATGCCCAAAAATACACAATAAATGGTCCCCAAACTATTTTTTGACTATTTTTGAATTTCCCCCCTGTAGAGGGACCAGGCCCGACTTAAGCCTAGTCCCTGGAGCCTTAGTCCTCAGGTCCCGAGGAGTCTTCCAGGGACCCGGACCCGAGATTCTCGACTCTACCAGAACTTTGCGCGTGCCCCCCTGGGCTCCAGCGCCTCTTGTCGCAGGACTCTCGTCGACCCAAAGAATGCTCGAAGACGGGCCAAGAGGGCCCCGCGAGGCCCCCAAGACGGCCCAGGAGGGCCCCGAGTCGCCCCAAGATCGTGCCAAGACGCTCAAGACGGCCTGAAGATGGCCCAAGAGGCCTCCAAGATGCCCCAAGAGGCCTCCAAGAGGCCTCCCAAGAGGGCCCCAAGAGGCAATAATCATTGATTGTCCTGAGGTGTTTGAAGGATGTGGGCGTTCTCGCCTTTTCGGTTTCGACGTTGAAAGACAGCCCAGGAGGCTTTAAATATTGCCCCCCAAAAATCAAATAGGCCCCGGAGAGGGCCTCAAGACTGCCTGCAAGCGCCCCAAGACGGCCGAAAGGGCTCCCAAGACGGTCCAAGATGGCCCCAAGACGGCCCCAAAAGAGTCCCAAGAGAAGGATCACGAACAGAAGCTCCAAGCCTTCTGCCCCAAGAGGCCCCCAGGAGGCCCAAAGAGGCGCCCAGGAGGCCCCAAGAGGCCCCAAGAGGCCTCCAAGAGGCCCCAAGAGGCTCCCAAGAGGTCCAAAAGAGGCCCCAAGAGGCTCCCAAACGACCCCCAAGAGGCCTCCTCCAAACTGCCTCCAAGAGGCCCCCGAGAGGCCTCCCGCGAGATCCCAACGAACATCCATTAGGCCTCATACCCAGTACAGGCACGTTGGCGGGATGGGCCGAAGGCCATTCGGTGCTACAAACCATCTCGTTGCGCCCATCTTGCTTCCTCTGCTAGTCCGACCGAAGCACCCCCACCCATCGTGAAGAAGTCGACGAGCCCTCTGGTGCCCGCATCGAGGTTGCTCCCACAGCGGCTGGATCCGCCTCGGAAGCCGTTGGCGCCGACTGCCATGGATCTCTGCTTGTGCCGGGGGGGGGGATTCCCAGGAAGGTCTGCTGATGATACTGGTACCCAGCTAAGAGCTTGCATTCCCAAAGCACCCCCCCCGTTGCTGAGCTGGACTTCGAACGACTGGTGACTGAACTTGGCGTCTTAGTATGGGGAAGCCTGCTATCTCCAGGGAACGCTTTAGCGGTGTATCTCACACCTGCTGTTAGCTCGTGGTGTCTACATGATTGGCGACGCGAAGGGGGTTGGCCACCTCCTTCACGTGAACTTCGCCCACCTCAGCAGCTGTGAAGACTTGACTTGAAGCAGCGTGAAAAAACTCAGTTAGCAGGAATAACCAACACATGCGACAGTCCCTGTTTGCTCCTCCTGTGCTGTGCAAGACACCAGGATTACCCTGTAGGTTGGAATGACGCTGCCGTTCATGAATTCCTCCCCTTTCCTCCTCCCTTCTCCCCATCCACCTCTCCCTCCTCCTGAACCTCCTTCTCCTCCTCCATCCTCCCCTGCTTGGGGTATGACGTCGTACCCAGCCTTTTCTTCCATTGCATGCTCCTCCACATCCCTGATCAAAGGAACTCGTCTGGGCATCGTTTCTGGATGGGCTGGTAGGGTTACGCGAAGAGTCTAGAAGCGCTGG